CTGCTGCCCCGCTCCAAACAATGCCCTATCTACATTCTACCTTTATAAATTTACCTTCTCTAGACATTTTCCAAAATGGAAACACTTCATATATGGTCCTTTTTAGTCCAGTGTAATTTTATGTCCTTTCAAATGAGGGGCTGGAGAGATAGTGAAGAGGGATTGCTGCTCTTGCAGAGGGCCTGGGTTTGGTTTCCAGCACCTCTCTGGGGGCTCACAACCATCCATAACCCCAGTTCCTGGGGATCCGACAACACCGTCTGACCTTCTGGGGACCAGGCATGCGTGTGGTACGCTTATGCAGGCAAAACACACATACAAAATAAAGTAGATAAATCTAAGAAAGAAGCATTAACAATAAAGAAAGGTAGAAGAAGAGCCTTTGATTCTTTGCCTGGCCTTCTTCCTCTTCCCAATCATAATAACCAGTTGCACAGTCGTCTTTACGTTTGTAGTTCTTGTTAACAGTCAAATCCCTTTCAGACCATGAGAATACTCTGTATATCAATAAGACTGTGCCTTCGGGGGATTGTTTCTATGTATATTTAATTCCTGAGATGTTTCCCCATTCTTGTATTTGAATAATGCCCTATAACCATTTAGTTCTTATCACTTAAGAAGTCATTTTGGCCAGACCTTATATTCTCCTTCCATTGACGGAAAGAGTAGAACCATCCCTCTGAAGTTAGTGGTACCCAACTCCAGTTTAAGGGAAGGGAGGTGGCTCTAGTGTCTGAGTGGCGGGCCCTTTGTCGACCTCAAGGTCACAGTGACTCACTGGTACCTACCTCCAGGGATGCTCTGAATGAGCTAATAGTTGTTGGTGTTCCCTCTAGATAATATTTAAATAATTCTGCTTGTCCTTAGGGGTAAGTCAGTGCCCCTGCACTTTATCAGACAGATTTAACATGCCTCATGTGTGTGGGAGACTTACTGGGAAACTTACCCCATAACAAGTGTCTTTAAATACTCTCCATCAAGAGGACAATAATCAACTTTATATGGAAAAAAAAAAATCCAGGATAGCCAAAACAATCCTGAAGGCGTAAGTCACAAACAATGCCACACCAATTCGGGGTTATGATTATTAGGGTGGTATTTATTTAAAGGGGAAAAAACTTACAGATCACTGTCCCAGGCAACAGCCCTCTACACAACCAGGAAAGGAGTCTAGTCGCCGGCGGAGCAGGAAGTGAAGAGAGAGAGAGGAGAGGGAAGTGGCCGCTTTTTTAAAGGGAGAGAAACCACGCCCCAATGGGCTGGTACCTCAGCGGTGATAGGCTGGAGGAGTGGGAGGACCTCCCGCAACACAATCCTATACAATAAAGGATCTTCTGGAGGCATTACCATCCCTGACTTCAAACTCTATTACAGAGCTACAGTAATGGAAACAGTGTGGTACTGGCATAAAAACAGAGAAGTCGACCAATGGAATCGTATAGAAGACCCGAATTTTAACCCACAAACCTATGATCAACTCATTTTTGATGAAGGAGCTAAAAGTATACAATGGAAGAAAGAAAGCATCTTCAACAAATGGTGCTGGCACAACTGGATGTCAACCTGTAGAAGAATGAAAATAGACCCATATCTATCACCATGCACAAAACTTAAGTCCAAATGGATTAAAGACCTCAATATCAGCCCGAACACACTGAACCTGATAGAAGAGAAAGTGGGAAGTACCCTACAACAGATGGGCACAGGAGATCGCTTCCTATGTATAACCCCAGCAGCACAGACATTAAGGGTAACATTGAATAAATGGGACCTACTAAAACTGAGAAGCTTCTGTAAAACAAAGGACACTGTCACTAAGACAAAAAGGCAACCTACTGACTGGGAGAAGATCTTCACCAACCCTGCAACAGACAAAGGTCTGATCTCCAAAATATATAGAGAACTCAAGAAACTGGACTTTAAAATGCTAATTAACCCAATTAAAAAATGGGGCACTGAACTGAACAGAGAATTCTCAACAGAAGAAGTTCAAATGGCCAAAAGACACTTAAGGTCATGCTCAACCTCCTTAGCAATCAGGGAAATGCAAATCAAAACAACTTTGAGATATCATCTTACACCTGTCAGAATGGCTAAAGTCAAAAACACCAAGGATAGCCTTTGCTGGAGAGGAAGGGGTACCCTCATCCATTGCTGGTGGGAATGCAATCTTGTGCAACCACTGTGGAAATCAGTGTTTCGGTTTCTCAGGAAATTCGGGATCAACTTACCCCTGGACCCAGCAATACCACTCTTGGGAGTATACCCAAGAGATGCCCTATCATCTGACAAAAGCATTTGTTCAACTATGTTCATAGCAGTATTATTTGTAATAGCCAGAACCTGGAAACAACCTAGATGCCCTTCAATGGAAGAATGGATGAAGTATGGAATATATACACATTAGAGTACTACGCTGCGGTAAAAAACAATGACTTCTCGAATTTTGCACGCAAATGGACAGAAATAGAAAACGCTATCCTGAGTGAGGTATCCCAGACCCAAAAAGATGAATATGGGATGTACTTACTCATAATTGGTTTCTAGACATAAATAAGGGTTACGGAGACTACAATTGGTGAACCTAAAGAAGCTAAATAAGAAGGTGAACCCAAGGAAAAACATATAGTTATCCTCTTGGCTAAGGGAAGTAGACAAAATTGCCGGGGAGAAAATTGGGATCTTGCGGGTGGGGTGGGATGGGGGTAAGGGGAGATGGGGAGAGAAAGGTGAAAAGGGGAGGACGGGGGGATCTTGGGGAAACAGGAGGATTGGGATAAAGGAAGGTTGGATAGGGGAGCACGGAAGCACAATTCTTAGTTAAGGGAGCCACCTTAGGGTTGGCAAGAGACTTGACCCTAGAGTGGCTCCCAGGAGCTCATGGTGATGTCCCCAGTTAGTCCCTTGGGCAGCTGAAGATAGGGAACCTGAAATGACCCTATCCTATAGCAATACTGACGAATATCTTGCATATCACCATAGAACCTTCATCTGGTGATGGATGGAGATAGAGACAGAGACCCACACTGGAGCACTGGACTGAGCTCCCAAGGTCCCAATGAGGAGCAGAAGGAGGGAGAACATGAGCAAGGAAGTCAGGACCACGAGGGGTGCACCCACCCACTGAGACAATGGGGCTCATCTATTGGGAGCTCACCAAGGCCAGCTGGACTGTGACTGAAAAAGCATGGAATAAAACCGGACTCTCTGAAAATGGCGAACAATGAGGGCTGATGAGAAGCCAAGGACAATGGCACGGGGTTTTGACCCTACTTCATGTTCTGGCTTTGTGGGAGCCTAGCCTGTTTGGATGTTCACCTTCCTAGACATGGACGGAGGGGGATGGACCTTGGACTTTCCACAGGGCAGGGAACCCTGACTGCTCTTTGGACTGGAGAGGGAGGGGGAGAGGAGTGGGGGGGAGGGGGAAAAGGGTGGGAAGAGGGGGAGGGAAATGGGAGGCTGGGAGGAGGCGGATACTTTTTTTTTCCTTTTCTCAATAAAAAAAATATTCTCCATCAAAACATAATGTTCACTATTTCATCCTATTTTCAAAGATCTTTAGTGTCCCTTGTGAAGTATTATCCCCCTGTCTCTGCCTTTCATTAGATTAGCATACACATAAAGAAAGCCACCCAATGCCTAAAACCTAGCAGATTTAACAAGTAGTGAATATCAGCCTTGTGACCTCTCATGGCCACCTTGAGCCTCTGTGTGAGGACAGGTGATGTCTCGCCCTTTTCTCCCCTGGCACTTTATTTCCAAATATTCCTGAGGCATTTAGCAAGCATTCGGTAACCTTGAAATGTTCCAATAACTCCGATACCTTTTAAAACAAAGATATTTAGAAGACATGTCTCCTTTGATCCATTGAAGCTGACGACTTTGGAGATCTTAATGTGGCCTATCATGTTAAGTGATATTTATGGCAAATAAGAGAAATCAACAGAATGAAGCTCCGTTGAGGGACAAACCTGAGCAGGGAGGTGTCGCTGAAGACAGCTGGTGCCCGGTCTGAAACAGGATCCTGCCTATTGGACGTGGGGAAATGGAAATGTTTCTGGGAAGATTTAAGGTCAAGGTTGTTTTATGAGGACAAAAGCATCCCAGAAGGCACGAGCTGTTTCCTTCTTCCCAGGTTCCCCAAACCTGCCCTGAAAGGGGGGGGGGGGGGGGGGGGCGGGCAGTAGCAACGAACAAAGAGGGCAAAGCAACTTCCCTTTCTACTCTTGCCTATTCTTAAATGATGTCACAAACATCAAAACAGCGTTTGGTAGGAGTCCAACAGATTTAACTTGTCCCCAAATTCCTGAACTACCGTCCTTGTAAATTTGTTGGTTTTTTGGCAGAGTATAACTGAACAACTTCTAGGCATAACATTTGCTGTGAACACCCACAGGAGACAGGCAGCTGTGGCCACCCTCAGCATTGGGTCAGGGAGGAGAAAAGGCTGCCACCCAAGATCATAGTGCGCCCAGGAACTTAGCTTCCACACCTGAGACCCCAGTTCTGCTTGGGACTCAGAGAAACCCCATTCTTAATTGTTTATTTTTGTCATTCTTGGGCCATGAAGCCCAAGCAAGTCTAAGTTTCAAGGCTAGAGACTTCATTTTGCGCTCCCTCACTCCCACCCCCACCCCTTGTTATCCTCTGGTCTCCCGGGTCCTTCTGCCTCTTTTTGTCCTTCCCAGCCCCCAACGTCCCCAACCTTCAAAATAATTTACCCTCTGGGATCCACACAAGAGACCATAGTGCCCCCCTCCCCCACCTCATGGCCAGCCTTCACAGCCCTGCGCTCTCTCGTCCCTATTTAAGTGGGGGAGATTGTAAAGGTGAGCCAGGAGCAGCCAGCAAGTTTTGACAGACGCTGAGGAGGACTAATGGGTTTCTAAGGAAACGGAGAGGCAGCAGCCATTTTAGTGGCATTTACCATATGAAAAATATATAGAGTCTGACATCCCCTTCCCACGCGCACTGGGGTGACACCCGGCTGCAGAGGCTCCGAGGTGAGGGTGGCCGCGGGTTTAGCGGAGCGGGACACCTGCAGCAGGTGTCGCGGGGTCGCGGCTCCTGGCGGGCGGGCGGGGTGGCGGGGCTCCCACGCGGACGCCGCAGTGCAGCGCGGGCCTCGCGCCTGGCCCGCCCCTCAGTCCCCGCCCCGCAGGCCGCGGGAGCCCGCCGGGAGGCGCGCGGGAGGTGGCCGCGGCCCGGGGCCACCGCGCGCCGCTGCCCAACATGGTCGCTGCGCACGCTGCACACTCTCCGTCCTCGGCTGAGTGGATTGCCTGCCTAGATAAAAGGTATGCCGCGTGGGGTGTGGGATTTGGATCGTGGGGAGCCACTCGTGGGGTGCCACCTGCGGGAGAGCATTCCACGTGCTGGGGAGCGGAATGCGGCGCCGCGGGGGACAAGACGCCAGCCTGCCCTGGTCCCCTTCCGCCCCACAGACTCCACGCTCCACTCGTGGGTGGGTGGGGGTTTCCCTTGGCAGTAAGACCTGAGAGAGTTCATCTATGAGGCTTCAGACTGTCCAGGCCCTTAGGATGCATGTCCTTTAAGTTTCCAGGAGGTGTGTGTGTGTGTTGGGGGCGGGGGGGTCATGCAGGTGTAGAGTCACCTTTTTTGTTTCTGAAAACCAAGTGCGAGGGACTCAAGGGAGCTGTCAAGTCTCTTGCTGAAATCCACAGCTCTTACCTTGGGCGCTCACTCAAGGTCTGTGTTAAGAAGGTCACTGGGAGGTGGCTTTCGTCTTCATCTCTGCAGCAGCAGAAAAGACCCTCACTCTAAAGAGAATTTAAACGGCAGAGAGTGCTGACTCTGGCCAGCCTCTGAGGAAGGTGCTGTGGGTGACAACGGATTGCAGTTGTTTCCAGGCTCTGACAGTGCCATTTTCTGTTTGTCTAGATTGCAAATTTAACAGTAAACATTACACGGTATGTTAGCAATTATAGTTTATTACCCGAAGGAAAGAGGTGCTGTATCCGAACTCTGACAGAAACAAGCAAAAGGTCTTGCATTTGAACCGCCCCTGAATCTCAGAGTTCGGTGCCAAAGGCCAGGGGTTCACACCTTGCCACTATCTGCATGATATCTGTATTTGCATTTATGGGAAATATTCTGGGCTCTGCCATACTAAACATTTTTCAATGAACAGATTTGTAACCGGATCAAACTTGAGGATCTCAAGTGTGGCCTGTTTTACTGTTATAGGCCCTTGATGAGAAGATATTAACTAAGAAGAGCTAAATGTAACTCATTTGAGTAACTTAATGTGATAAACGATCCTGGCTTTTAGTTACCACACAGTAGCAGGAATATTTTTGGCAGGCATTGCCCCGTTCCCGACTAAAATGGTGTCTACTAATATTAGAGAAATTACACACAGCAAACACTAAGACAATTGAAGAGATGGTTAAGTCATACAGAATTCTGTGGAGGAATTAAAGTCATATTTAAGCGGAGTGCCTGCTAATGTGATCAGTAATCTAAATTTAATACTTTAGGAGGAGTGAATTATAAAACAAGAGATAATCAAGAGCTTGCACTTAGCCTATAAATAGCTAGCAGCGCATCCTCATGAGTGGTAATTCTGGGTCGTAAGCAACATAACTTCTCTTGGCAGAAATGCGCAGTGTACAGTTTTTGAACAGTCAGTCAGTCATTGGAAATCCTTCAGTGAGTGAGGACTTGTGGAGTCACAGATCGGTGCTGCTGGGACGCCTTTGACGTCTCTACCTGCGCATCTGCCTACCCGGTTGTGTTTGGAATGGACTTCCAGAACATGGTGCCGCACTCTAAAGCCACCGTTCATAACGAGCAAACAACAACAGTAACCAAACCATAACAAAATCCCACTCCTGCTCCTGAACCTGGTGTTTCTGAAGGGCAGGGGAGTGGGCCGATCCTCAGAGCTCTCGCGAGTTCTGATCTTCGTATCCCTTTTACTTCCTGAGTTGGAAAAAGCTCACCTCCCAGCAACGGGTGGACAGATGGAAGGGAGGAGGAAAAGGTGCCAAATGCACTGAAAACAAGGGATGCAGGCTAAGCATTTTGTTTCCTGGTGCGCCTGTCCTATGGCCTTGATCCCAGAATTCCTAAGCAGAGCCCCTGAGGAGCGGCGGCGATTTCATCGCAAGTGGGCATTTGGAGGCAGATTTTGAAGTTACGTTTTAAAACATAATCTGTTAATTTTTTAAAAGAGAGAATGAAGGCTGAGAGTGTGGACTAAAATTGTCTGGGAAGCTCCCTGTAATGCCTCCTTCCTGGGGCATTGCCTTTAATGAGCCTGAGAGGTATTAATACCCTGTTCCGGGCACTGGGCTAGGCATTGAGGGCGCAACAAATGAGGGTTGCTCCTAGCTTCTGGGTGCTGATGGCTTTGTGGTGGGGTAGCTAGGTAACTGTGTGACTGCAGTCCCACGATAAATGTTTGAATAAGAATGTGTACAGTGCTTTGGAAGTGCAGTCAGGCCTGGATGTAATGGGCTGAGGGCAATTCTACCAAAGGCAGAGAAGAGGGAGGAGGTCAGGACGGACGGATGAGCAACTTGGGCAAAGGCACACTGATGTGGCAAGGGACTCTGCTTCCCTCTCCACCTCAAATTCCTCTTGTGACCAAATCTAGACTACAGGAAAATACACTCTGTTTTCTAAATCTTTTTTCATGGCCATTTCCAAGTGTGCATAAGAAAAGCAGGAACGATGCAGTGAAGAGGGAACCAGGACTCTGCTGCTGGCAACAGAGGGAGTTCAGCTCAGAAATGTAGTTCAAATGCATGCAGGAGCCGAGTGACCAGCAGCGTGACTCTCTGGGAAAAAGAGGAGCCCTGAGATTGGGACAGAAGAGAATAGAGGGGAGGGTGTTGTTGATGGAGGTGGCTTGGTCAGTAACACATCTGCTGTACAGACACCTGAATTTGGATTCCGAACACCTGTGTTAACAACATTGCTGGCATTGCAGCAAATGTCTTCAGGTACAGCAATGGGGGAGCATAGACAGAAGCTTATTGGCCAGCCAGTCGAGCCAAATTCATGAGCTCCACATTCAACAGGATACCCTGCCTTACAAAGTAAGGTCGAGAGTGACAGTCAAGGAAGACATCCAGCTTTGCCTTCTGACTTCTGCATGCATGTACATCCACACATATAACACATACACGCATAACACACACATATGCATACATGCACATGTATGCCCAGGTACACACACACACACGCACACACACGCACACACACACACACACACACACACACACACACCAAACTTTATAGAAAGAAAAGAAAGAAGAAATAGAAAAGTCTACTTGAGAGAAGGCATACATAAGGAAAATTGAAGTGAAACATACCACCATGGAAAATAAAGCAGAGAAGTGTGCACTTGGCACGCCTACAAAGCAGTCCTGGTTGGGACAACACTCTCTAAACTCACATGTGAAGAGGGAGCCCCAAACCACGTAGATGTGCCGATTAGGCTAAAGAAAGAAAATGCCGAGTGTTTTAGTGTCAGCTGCTTCCAGTCATGGATGTGGTCGTTCTGAGGTGTCTATAAATGCCTAAAACCTCGAGTGATGTCAGACATTAGGATGTATAAACCAACACTGGAAAGTTTTGATAACGCTCGTGGATGCGAAGCAAGTTTACTGATTGCTTATGGATCTTACATAGATTTCTCCTGGGGCTGAGACGGTTCACTAGAAATGAAATTGTATAATTCATTCCTACTATTTGGGATTTAAAATAGTCAAACGGCACTTTAAAAAAATGTGATGACCTTTATTTAATTTTAATGAAAGGTTTTGAGTTGGCTTCCTGTGTCTTTAAGAATTGTTTCTAGGTAATGACTTGTAAGGGCATCACCAAGTCACATGGTTGGGGGATCGCCTGTTCAGCAGACCATGGCCCGTGAATCCCCCAAGAATGGCTCTAAAGGTCCTGATTGGTTGGAAAATAAATAAAAAGAGTAATAGTTCACGATCCATAAAATTTATATGAATTTAAATTTCAGTGTGCATCAACAGTTTTATTGGAAGACAGCCACACTTACTTGGCTCCATATTGTCTGTGGCTGCTGTCGCTGCGGCGGCAGAGTGGGGTAGTGGCAAGGAGGCTTGTGGTCCACAGAGCTTAAATGTTTACTGTGTGAACGAACCTCCCCAGAACACATGGCTGTCCTTCGCTCGAGACGAGCCGCTCACCCAAGGGAAGGATGGTGAGCTACTAGAGGTAGCAGGAGCATCTTCTCTCTCTGGAAAGAGTTTGCCATTCCTTTTGCCTGAGGTTCTGTAACAGTTTTGGGAGGGGAGGTGTGGTTGTTTATTCTACCTGAAGATTCCTGTCCCACAGGCCGAAGCAGAAGATGAAGTCAAGGATGGTGGAGCATGTCAGACAGGCTGTCATCTTTTACTTATTTATTTTACTGGGAATTTGAATTTTTATTATTTTTAATTGTTTTTGTTGAGCTATATATTTTTCTCTGCCCCCCTTTCAATCCTCTCCCAAAATATCCCCAATTTACTCAGGAGATCTTGTCTTTTTCTACTTCCTATGTAGATTAGATTTATATTTGTCTCCCTTAGGGTCCTCTTTGTTGTCTAGGTTCTCTGGGATTGTGAATTGTAGACTGTTTTTTCCCCCTTTATTCTAAAAGCCACTTATGAGTGAGTACATATATTTGTCTTTCTGGGTCTGAGTTACTTCACTCAATCTGATGTTTTCTAGATCCATCCATTCAGGCTGTCATCTTTTAAAGGCAACTATATCTTTTTCTTTTTTTAAATTTTTGTATTTATGTTTCCTTTAAACACATACACACTTATGTTGATGCTTCCTTTGCACGTGACTTGCTCCCATATAGATGGTATGTTAGTATTTTGATGTGGTAGGAATGAGATTGAAAGAAATCAAGGAGCACGTTCGCTAAAACCAAAATACTTTGCAGGACACACGGTGCGAGAAGATGGCTCAGAAATCAAAGAAACGTCAGATATGGTCTCTAGAGGGATGGAGAGGATCAAAGATGCACACAGAGCAGAACTGTGGCTCTGCGGAGGCTGGTGTCAACTAGGCAGGACCCTAGGGATGGTACTCCTCTGGTACTTTCTCTAGGACTCAGGGCTGGCCTTGCTCACACTCCAGGGTTCCTGATTTGTCAGCATACTGAGAATGCATGCATGTTTCAGGGGTGGTTACACAGGCATCAGACTCCTGAGACCTTCGAGACCAGTCCTTAACTTGGTGGAAAATTTGTATCAGCCGACTAGTGGACAAGCTCATCTTTTGGCTACTGCAGTTGTACCAGAGG